AGTTTTCTGTCAAAGTCTTTTCACGAGATAGAGATTGTAGAGAGAGCTCTGTTTGATATGTTTATCGCTGTTGCTTTTTTTTTTATTTGCTTTTTATTTCTGCTTTGGATGTGTGGACAAATAAAACAACAAATAAATATTTACATAAAACAAGCTTAATCATTGCAGCATGTAGGCTACAGTATGTGCCACAAAATTGTGTCCTCTACAACATAGAATGTCTGGTCAATCAAGGCAATGTATTCCATTATCTTTTAGTTATATTTTGCAGTTTTTCATATTTTCATGTTGATCTGCTGCTGTTTAAATGTTTGAACACATCTGAGCTTGAAAAGAACAGTATACTGCCAGAAAACTGTCTTCGCAAGTGAAAAAATCTTAAATCTAGTTTAAATATCTGACTCATTTTGAGATGCTTGTAGGAATATTATAAGATTATTTAACCTTTTTCAAGATGTTTTTACTTGCTTTAAGATAGTTTAGGTGAAATGATCTTACTCTAATGACAGAATTGTTTTTGTTTCAAATGTTAGATTGTTGATGGATAGTGACACTTCATTGTAGACCTATGTATTTTTTGGGGGGTAAAACATTTCTGACTTTTTTTCTCTTTCACCAATTTTGTCAGGAAACTGTCAGTGGCCGAAATTTTAGTATGTAATTATGGATTGTCTCAGTGTCAGTTAAAGTGGTAGTTTGCCCAAAATTGTAATGTAATTGTAATGCAATAAACAGAATATTAACAGTGCATATTTTAGTTCTTTGGGAAATTTCTTTACGTCACTGCCTTCTTTAGATCATGCACGTTTCTCTCTCCTATGTTTGCTTCACTCTCTTGCCTTTGAAGTAGCACTAGACACCTAACATAGAGCCCCAAGTGGTTTTTATCTTTCTCATCATGTTGCATGTCCGTGTTTTGATAGTATGATCGGTGACTCGTTGAGGCACATGGACTGTGCCACATGTTCATTAGCACCCAGAATGTGTCTCATGGGGCACAGGCTGTTTAAATGCTCAGGACCCCCTGCATTCTGAGCGGTTATGCTATGCCCATTATTAAAACTTCGTAGGCATTCTTCCCTTTGAGTAGGGTCCACCTGGTGTTTAGGTCTCAGTATGTATTTGATAAGAATATTCTAGCCCTGGTGACAGGCATAAATATTTCACCACCACACCATTGTCGTACCTGAGAGGGGTGACGAGGTAGACACTGTTATTTTAAAGCCAGTCAGGCTTGCATTATTCACTCACATTACAGACAGCTGTGACAGAGAGCCTCAGTTGTCCTCCGAACAGCCAGTCCTCGTTCAGTCCCTTATCAATAATTTAACCTGAAAATAAACACCAGCGCTCTTTCTGCGGAAACCAACCGCCGGCTGTTCTGGTTCAAAGCCGTGAAAGAGCTTTTATTCTCTGACTGTCTTGTCCAAGTTAACCCCATAGTCTCTTGCTGCTTACCTAGGGTGCAGTAATCAGCGCTGTGCAGTGCGGTGGGAATATTTTTATGAACGCTCGTTATTCCAGCTCGCTGCCAGACAGTGCTGTCTGTTCAGGGAGCCTCTTGTCCCCCCAGCGCTGCAGTACAGAGCTCACAGCGGACAGGCGGATGCAGTAATAAGCCTCGTTTTTGCATCAGCACGTGGGGTACAAGGCGAAATGTTGTAACTTGTCTGCGGAGACGCTCGACCGTCCCCCGGAGGAGCCGGCCTGCACGGGAGCCACTTAAGCAGACTCTGGGGCGACGCTTTGGCTGGCTGAAACAGGGCTCATTGTTCCCAGCCCCTGCCATTAGAAGAGGGCCTCCTCCTGCATAATGCACAGGCTTCCTGACACACGCTGAGCTCTAATGCGCCTCGGTGCCGCCCGCAGTGACACAGCAGATCAGGAGCCAGCATTTGAGCGGCTGTCCGCCGCCTGCAGCACCCGAGGGCATTGACCCAGTGTGTAGAGGGGGCGGTGCTGATACAAGAGTTAGCCTGAGTGAACACCAGTGACCCCTCAACCAACCACGCTTATACGCACACATATTTCCACCCGGGTGACCCCCACTACAGCAGATGTCTGTAGAGATCAGATGGAGATCCCTTGAACCCAGTTCAGTTCTGCAGGGGTTCCTCTTGCCTGCTGTGGTCACCGCTGAGAGTGTGTGAGAGGATGGCAGAGTAGGCACATTCTCAGAGACTGGAGTGAACCCGAAGACGCTGAAGTTCTCCCTCGATCAGTCCACATAAACGTACATCACATTCTCCATCTCTTCTCACCCATGGACAACCCGTCTGTGTCCTCACCACACTGACTCCTGTTCCATCATATGCTACGGTGTAGAGAGTGATGTAGACACTCGTGACTGACTGTGGCATGGGCTGCATTTGTGCAGATCCTATGCTTCAGAAAACACAGATGCATTTGGACAAATTGTCTCCATGCATCTAGGTGACGTTTGGATTTATGGCTAGCAAATGTGCATTTCTCATGACACTGCTATGCATTCTATACTGTACTATATTTTCAGGGATGCATCACATAAATTTTCATACAGCTGAACCCAGGGCAGCACTGTCAGCATAGTGAGGTGCTGAGGTCTACAGCCTGTCTCGATTCTAACATATCAAAGAAACATCTGAGAACTTTTGACTCAAAAATAAATACTTTCGTCAGCATCATTGAGCTTCGCTGTGTTTTAATGTGGTCTTTACTAAACAACACTGGTGAAAATAACACATCATTGTGCTCTGTTTATGCAAATTGTTTAAAAAATGCGGTAATATAAAATTTAAAAAGTTGTACTTTTTTTTTTTTTAAATGATGAGTCACTGGATGATTGAATGAGTATGTGTGCATGCAAGCGTGGCGACGTCGGGGTTAGCGGCCTGCTAAACCTGATAAAATATTGGATTTTGAGTCGGGTCTGGTGCGATTTGTCATGTTCTCTCTCACACATTCTCAAAACCTTGTAGACTATTGTTACATTTGGAAAAGCTCCAGAGTTTGAGGAGGTTTGAGAAGTTGAATATCAGTAGAACATCACTCACCCTCATCATGGATGAGAGGGATGTGTAGGGGTTGCTGCAAAGGTCATAGCGGATCTTTTTTCTAGCTTGTTAAGTTAGTTAAGTGTGTTAAGTACTTCTGCACTTGCCTTAGTGACGAGAGGAACTTTAGCACAGCTGGGCTTACAGTTGATCAGGGCACGGTGGATGCTGCTTTTATTTGGGAGGTATGATCGGCGATTCCACGAACATACTTTTTTCCCTCTTTTTGCTTTGTGTTAGCCCAAAAACAATGTTTCTCCTCCAAGCATTTTGTATAGAAGTAGCTGTTTCGTGATATTGTTAACCTCTCGAATGTCTCACCCCCCCAGTTCCCCCATCCCCGTTCCAGTTTGCAATGTTTTCTCCATGGCATACTCAAAGATTTCAAAAGTGCCTGTAAAACAGAGAGAGCTTTTGGCGTGTTTGTGCTTTTGGAAGTGTCGGCAGTGAGATCCTGCTCTGCATGGCCCAGGAGAGAGCCGACGGAGTGACTGTCGCCGCTTTAGTCTGCAGAAAGTGCAACACTGCTAACATGAAACATTACATGCTGTACAGTGCTGCTTTATTGAAGGCTGTGTTTTCCACAGTCTTTGCCCAGAGCTCTTTTTCTGGCTTCTCATGTCTTCAGGCATGTGGGGATCACTTCTATAAACCACAGCCCAGCTTTAGAGGGACGGGTGGCTCTGAGACATCTCATCATCCCTCAGTTCTCAGCTGGTGGAAAGAAAAGGGTCTCTTACTCTCTCTCTCTCTCTCTCTCTCTCTCTCTCTCTCTCTCTCTCTCTCAGTTTTTCACACTGTTGGTTAAAGTGATAGCTCGGCCAGAAACAGTTCCTTAATCAATACCATAGGAACACTTTTGGCTCCCTAACCATGTTTAAAGAGATTTGTAAGTTTCTAAGGTTTAAAGAACCTTAGCATAATTAAAGATTCTATACCACTCTATACCATGCACATATATTGAAAATCTATTCATGATAGAGAGATACATGCAGAGTATTGTAAGATAAAATAGTCCCCTAAGGTTTATTGCCACTATTTTACCTTTACCAACATTATATTTAAGAACTCAGAAGCCATGTGTCAGTTCACTGGTCATGTTGAATAGTAAATGAAATGACTATTTGTATTGTAGACACCATGACCCCTGGTTGCTATTATCACACAGGTCTAATTCACAGTTTAAGATAATTGTTAACTACAGTAGCTATGTAGCTCCAACATGAAACTAACTACATAGCTCTAACACACAACTTGGATTTGACCTGTAAGACATGGGTTGCCACCTCTACTCCTGAAAATCTGCCTTATTTCATTCTACCCTAGCCATCATGTAACCTCATCCATCCAGCTAATCCTTGTCTTCAGAAGACTTTTAGCAGCCAGAGCAGGTGTATTCGATTAGACCTGCACTCCAGTAGAGGCTTGTTGACCCGTGTCTCTGAAACCATCTACAGTCTGTGTTTTGTACCAGTTTATTGGATTGCGATGTTTTAGCTTCAGTTCTTGCATAACACAGTTCTAGTTCTGAAGAATCTCATTTGCTGGAGTTATTCTGAGGATAAAGTTCAACTGGAGTTCATGCCAACTGTAGCAGACGGCATGAAAAGAGCTGATGCTCTAATCAATGGGACTGCTTTATGTAAGCAGCCTTCAGACACCAGCTAGAAGATCAGACAGCGATCCTCTCAAAAGAGAATGAAACATTGCTCATCATCTGTAGTTATTCATAATTCTAGTTGCTTTGTAACACTTTTAAGAATACACAGGCCTGTGCATCTATGTTCAGTATATACTCTTTATAGCACTTATAGACTGTGGTGTAGACTGTTACAAAGCATCATAGTCATGCATTATGTTTCAAATGTTGCAAAGCCACACATTTGAATAGATCAGCCACATACGTGATTAATGCATATGATTTCTTGACGCTAACTTTTTGTCTGTCTCTGTCTCTGTTTTTCTCAGGAAGGCACAGGAGCAAAATAAGAAAGTAGTGGTAGCAGGTTGTGTTCCTCAGGCTCAGCCCAGAATGGACTACCTCAAAGGCCTGAGCATTATTGGGGTAAGAGCTTCTTTTTCACTGTATGTAACATACACAGCACAGAAAAGTACATACGTTCACGTGATGGCAAATGGTGTTAAAAGCTTTCCCTCAAATTGTTCCATCTGTGCTAGAGTGGGGAGATGGTGGTTGTTTAATCATGACTACGCCCTTGAACCGTTGGAGAAATCCTGCCTCATGCAAATGAGCCTCCAGTTTTGCATAACCCACCAAGGCTGTTGCATTCCTAAGCTATCCAGAAGTTTGAGATGCAAGCATGTGTGCCATGTGAATCATCATGTTACATAAGCTTGAAACTAAGGAGATGCTGAGCACTTGGCTTTAAATTTTTCGCTGGTATCCGGCCTCCATGAGGGAGCTATTTATTTCATCTGATTACATTATTTATGTTGCAGTTTTTATCGAGGAGAATAGCTCGGTAACAAATGGTCAGGGCTGGCCGTGGATTAATTACTTCACTTAAATAGGCAAGCAGACCGCAATCACCGTGACCCTTGTTATGGCAGTTTAATCTTTGAACATGTTAAAAAAAGTAAAAAGTGTTTCTTGTGTCTGGTGCAGTATTGCATTATTTCATGATGATGTTATTTTGTAGGGTTTTTATTTATTGCTCTTTTAACATTTAACATTTTCACTTCAATGCACTTAACAGTGAACTGAACCGAACAGCTTGGCCTCTGACTTATTTTTCCATATCATTCAATCATCATATTATACTATATATGTATATATATAGTTAATATATATAGGAGAGAGTAATATTTTGAATGAGATATATTAATCCAGTAAAAGTTAATGAGAATTTATCATTTTCACAAAAATGTATCTTGTAAATTTTGAGCTAAAATCAGTATTTTTGTAACAATGATATTTGTTTTTATTAAAATAGTGTCAGTGCTGGCTCTACCTAATAAGCAACATAAGTGGCTGCTTCGGGCTAGGGGAGCCCCTCTAACAATGTCTGGGTTATTACTGTCTCAAAAAAAGAACATACACATCTGGAGCTGAAAAACAGAAAAGAAAAAGAGAAGATGAAGGGAAAAAAAGCTGAAAGAGAAGGGTATGTTTTGTTTTTTTGTGGTGTTGGCTTATAGGTGGACAACAGGAAGTGGTGGATATAGGGTCTGTCTAATGAAGCAGTATTGTCTTGGACAGGCTGACCAAGTTTCTTGGACTACTGACCAAGTTTCTGTTGCACAAAACATGATGCATTTTTACAACTTTCTCTGTTAATCCAAGTTTAAACAATTGTTTATGACTGGAAGCCACGTGAAACACCAAAAAAAAGGAATCATACTGCTTAAATATGTAGAAAATATAGAATTTATAACAGTAAAACAGCCACCATGGTTAGATCAAACTGAGCTTAAAGTTAACTGCGTAAACAAGAAACCATGTGTTGTGAGATCCACAAATCCACAAATTAGCCAGTAATAAATTTAATTTAGACAGATTGTGTTAGCTATTGTTATTAGTTAGCATGTAAATTTATAGTATATCAGCTATCTAGTCAGCAACAACATCACGGACCCCCAGAAATTCTGCTTAGGTTAGAGCTGGCCATACATGTTGTTCTTTTAAGCAAAAAACACTGCCTAAAACTTTGCACAGTGCTGTATATAAAATCATCTATGAAAACTAATGAACTACTAATTCAGCAAGAAAAAAAAAACAGATTGCCACCTAATGTGCTGAAGTAACAGTTCAAAGATAAAGCTTTTGTTGCTAATATCCGATTGAAGGACAGAACTGCATAATCATTTTAGTGAGCCTACCTTTCAAACAGAATGTGAATTTGTGTGCGTTTTCATCAGCTGGATCGAGGCAAATTCATGTATATTAATCAGAAAATGCATTAATTGAAACACGCCGTGGTCCATTTAGAGGGCAGTGATGAGTAATGTTTGTTTATTTGAGCTTAAACTGTGTCTGTCATCACTAGCTAGGTAGCTAATCAGCCAGTTTACTTCAAAACTTCTGTACAGTGAACAAAAAGACAATGAAATTGTTAGTTTAATTTTTTTTGACAGTGCTTATCAGTTATGCCTTTTAGACTGCACTAGTCTTTTCATACAAAATAGTGGGATCCAGACTGCTGTTCCACAGTGAGATTGCCTCTGGTGATATCGATCGTTCAGACCGTTCGTGTCAGGAGAATTCACAGACCTTTGTTTATAGTTTGTGACTGACTTTTAGGGAAGAGAATCAGAAAGGGAAAAAGAAGAATTCCACTTGAAGTCTTTGGACACTTTGGAAGTCCTCCGCCCTCCCTGTTTGCCAGCCCCTCTCAGCGTGGAGGTCTCAAAAGTAGCCCTCTCTCTGTCTCTCTCTCTGCAACCCAGCTGGACAGTGGGCATTGGGCAATTTAAATCCCAATGTCACAGGGGTCGAGTAACGGTAGCTGTGGCCTAAAGACCCCTCGGCCCCAGTGGGGTCCTGCTGCCTGCTTTTCATCGTTATTATTTTTTTTTCCCCAATGAAGTTAAAAGAAGCAGTAGAGAGGGGGTAAGTACAGTCTTCCTGAAAAAGGGCATCGATCGCTGGAGCAGTGGGACGGATGGAGGGTGAGGGGAGGTGGAAGGGGGGCACTCATCTCCTGGCCCAGCGGGACACCTGCCGGAGCAGTGGAGCATCCAAATGGCAGAGATGACCTGCTGCTAGCCAACCATAGACAACTACACACTGACCCTTAGCTTGCATGAGAGGGAGCCTTTGGATCTTAGAACACAGCTCCGGCTTTTATTGCCTTTAAAGTGAATGGCCTACGTCTGTAGCCAGCTACCTCTTCTGCTGCAGGGAGAAAATGACAGGAAGAATGAAATATTTACACAATTTTCCCCTTGTTATAAATCGATCAGCCAAGACATGTTTGGTGTCTTTAGTTTTGTACTGGAGCTGCGAGTCTAATGCTGCTAAAAAAATTTTAAAGATTAAAGCCAGCAATTGCCATCACTTAAGATGCATTCCAAAATCATCAAACACTTACCTCAAATCATGAGGGACATTGTCATCTCAAATAAACCTGCTTATGATCCTGTTTGACACATGTTATGTATAAAACTAAGCAAAAGCACAGTGCAATTCAGCCTTCAAGATGACTGCTACTACTGTATTTAGCTGTACAGTGGGCTTTAACAAGGGGACAATTGTGTGAATTACAATTTTTGCCAAACAATTTCTTTTAAAGTATTTCTGTTGCCATCAACTTGTCCTTCTAGGAGAAGGACGATTTCAGAAGAATTAAGAACAATTAAGAAGAATTAAGATTTTATACTTTTTCTTATGAAACTGGATTGATGTGCTCAATTGTTGCATTTACCTTGAAATCCCAGCACCCTCCCATGCTGTCAAGTTGCCTGTGCACGCCTTTGTCTAGACAACAGATCAACACTTGACTTTCAACTGGTTGTCTTTGAAGAAAAACCCCTATGAAGTGGGGATATAGATCTCGGCCTGGGGTCCGGGCCAACCCAGCCCAGCTTAAAACGCAAACATTTGCGGCGGACAGAGCCTTCTCGGCCTGATGACAGGTTAGCGATGCTAAACAGCCCTCCTCCGCTCCAACCTGTCTCTCCTCGAAAACCCACTCAATAAAATTACCTTCTTCCTTTCTCTACGATTCCCGTCGACTGCTCCGCCCAGCCTGGTCCCTGCTGGTCTAGCGTTCAGACAGCACAGCAGTGCCTGGACCCCTGTAGGGCACCTGTTCAGAGCAGCCTGCTGCTTAGAGTGGACTCAGACAGGCCTGCCATTAGGGAGATATCGATTTTGATTCCTTTGCTTGTCATGCATATAAGTGGAGGCTGGCAAAGGCCTTGCGCCTCTTACAATCCGTGGGCTGCTAAAATCGTCCTGTTGGTTGGATGAAAGAGTGAGAGAGAGAGAAAGCGCACTTTGGGCCAGGCTATTTAGCCATGGGGGTACAGAACGCAATTGCAGCACATTTTCCTCTAATAGGTCAGATTGAGCAATCTCTCAGTCCCCATGCAGAAATGAGGGCAGTTGAAGAAAAGGGTAGTGGAGTAACTTTCACAGGCCTCTAAAGAAGCACTCTCTGTTAGGTTGGTCACTCTCTCTCTCTCTCTCTCTCTCTCTCTCTCTCTCTCTCTCTCTCTCTCTAGCACTTCCTTTTATCTGTCTCTATCTAGATGTGGTGACTTGCTGTTAAACTCCCCCTCCCCCATTGTTAGAACACCAGTATTACTCATTCTGCTACAGACTGACAGTGTGGAGGTCAGCATGCATTTATTGCATTTATGTAGTTAATGTTAAAAGTGAGTTATGTTTAATACAAACCATCTTCAGTTTGAACAGTCTTTATCCTCATCACAGCAAGGCATCTTTTTATCTGGATCACTGGCAGTGCAGTGCAGTGTTATTTTCATCAGCAAAAATAATGGGGAAAATCTTCCTTAGTGACAGTTTGTTTACTCAGACAAAAATGAAAATGTGACGACAAAGCTGCTTGAGGATGTAGACAATGACTAATTTTTTCTGCATTTGGCGGACAAAATGCCAGATGTACATAAGCGAACATAAGGTAGTGTGTTTTTCATTCCATGTACAGCTCTTAACTACAGCTCTTATCAAAATTCTGTTATGTTAAAGGAGGCCTAGGAAATGTCCATGTTCCATGTGTCAACAAAATTACAGTTGTTGTTTCACAGTGAAATGTAATTTGTAATCCACACAGTTCAGGAGTGTGGTTTACAGGAGTTAGTTTAAACAAAACAAAACAAAAAAAAAAGAAAATCACTGTGTTTGCTTTGTGTCTCTTCATTGTAGTAAAGTATGGTTGTTAATTGTAGTTATTATCCAATACTTGGTTGGACTAATCACTGCTTTATTAATCAAATGTGCTGGTGATAGAATTTAATAAGTCTATGTAATGGCAGGGGCTGTAGAGGAGAAATCTGGAACCAAATTTTGTTATTCAAACTGGCTGACAAGATATGAACTACTTTTTTTAAAATTAGAAATTTTTTGTTAGTTTTTACTTATTTGATTATTTGCTTTTATTCTAAATATATATTGTGTTTTACAAGAACAAACACATTTATTGCAAAGAGAAGTATTTATTAATGAGCTTAGGTGCCTAAGACTTGTACATGGTACCATACAACTAAATTTGGAGATTTACACTACCTGCATTTGATTATTCATTTTTGCTCTGATTAAACATATTGAAAATGAAATTGGAATCAGAGCCAAATTTATTTGCCATGTACATTAATAGTTATTAGGAATTTGTCTCTAACTTTAGTCACAACACATTCCAACACAGTGTATGTTCATAAATGACACGTTAAGTAAAAACGTGTACATCTGCATAGGTAAAGATAGCAGTTGAAGTAGTATTTCGTATGGCAGTTAGACTGTGCATTTGTTGCACTTTGACTGAATCACAAATGTATTTTAGTCTATAACCTAAGGCTAAATTAAAAATGGGCCAGTTGAAATGAAGACTGGAAGGAGACAGTTGCACAGTCAACACCTTCTCTTCATCATGGAGCTCTTTAATGATCCCATAATTGTCCTAAATGAGAAGTCAGGGAAGATGTGACTCACAGCTGCTGCTGTGTTTATGAACATGAGAACTTTGCATATCATGGTGGGGTGGAGAAGTTTATTATGTGAGAGAATTGATTCCTATCAGCAGACAGTTAGAATGAGTGTGTGCAGTCCAAACACACACACAATTTTCTCAGGCTTTTCAGCTTCAGCCGTGACAGGCTGAGATAGGCAGTGCTGATAGAAGTGCTTTTCCATCAGCAGACGTCCGTGGAGACGCTGCTGGAACCCGGTGCTGCGTCATTCTGATTTCCACGTGCCAATGTAGAGCTAAAGGCTTACATCATCATGTAGCTCAGCAGGGGCATTGTCTGGCCTGGGCTTCCCAGGCTGTAGCCCCAAATATTTTTTAACCAGCCCTGGACCTTGTAGCAATAACACGTCACACTTTTCACCTTGACTCATTTACACATCACGCTCATCATCCATGACTTCATTCAGAGGCATGTTCACCCACTCTTTAAACTCGGAGAAAGAGAGGTGGTGTGGAAAGAGAGCAAGAAAAAGAAAATGTGCGTGTGTGAGAGTGCAAGGGAGAAAATGCCTGAATTGGCAAATCTACTCCACTGTACAGCAGTAATCATTTTAACTAATTGAAGTAAGTACTCGGTTTTAAAATTTCAAGTTGACTGAACATGTAATGGTAAGTTAACAGTGGTTTTTGGTGAACATTTGGTTAACACATTATTTGAAGTACAATAAAATTAAAATTTATGACAGACGGGTAACTTAGTTTTTTATATAATAAATAAATTGACTCACTTGAAAACCAGCCCAATCTGAGACCAATGTTGATATATGTGTAAAATGTTTACCTGATATTTTGTCGAACCTGTTGGGCTGCAGAACTCTAACAGTGTTTATCAGGACACAAAATTACCCAAAAATTACCCAGACGGAATGCTTTGTGTTAGCATGATCTTTCACATTTAAAATGTTTCTTGTTTGGTTTTAGGCAAGAAGAGTCTTACTGAATGACTGTTTAGCTTTTAAAATAAACATAATGTTTATCTGTTTGCAGAACACTAGAGAGGAGACATGTGGAAGAGGTTGATGTAGAAAGAGAAATGTGCAGAGAACTTGAACGTCTGTTTTTGACGCATTTTTCCACTTTATGTTGGAAGTTTCTTATTGTTTTTAATGATTTTGTTTATAGGACCCAATCAACATTGCTGAATCACTGCACGTTTGTTGATGTTTAAATCCTTTTATCACAACCCCATTTCCAAAAGAATTGGGATGCTGTGCAAAATGTACATAAAAGCAGAATGCAATGATGTGCACATAATTTAAATCCTTTATTTAATTGAAAATAGTACAAAGACAACTTATCAAATGTTGAAACTGAGAAAATGTATTGTTTCTGGAACATTATATGCCCATTTTGAATTTGATGCCAGCAACACATTTAAAAACAATTGGGACAGGGCAACAAAAGAATGATAAAGTTGTAGAATGCTTAAAAAACACCTGGTGGAACATCACTCAAATAATTGGGTTAATTGGCAACAGGTCAGGCTGAGTCTTTCTTTCAAAAGATGGGGAGCGGTTCACCACTCTTTGAAAGATTGCGCAGGCAAATAAGCACAACAATTCAAGAATCATATTTCTCAACTTCAAATAACAAAGAACTTGGGAGTTTCATCATGTACAATACATAATATCATTACAAGACTCAGAGAATCTGGAGAAATCTCTGCAAGGGACAAGGCCGAAAACCAGTATTGGCTGGCTGTGATCTTTGGGCCCTCAGGCAGCACTGCATTAAAAACAGACATGATTCTGTAGTGGAAATCACTGCATGAGCTCAGGAACACTTCCAAAAACCACAGTCTGTGAACACACTTCATCACTGCATACATATATGCAAGTTAAAACTCTACCATGCAGAGAATAAACCATATACAAACAGGATTCAGAAACACCACCACCTTCTCTGGGCCCGAGCTCATTTGAAATGGACTGAGGTGAAGTCAATTGAATCAAAAGTACAGTGTGCTTTGGACAACTCAGTAATCATCACAGTCCATTTGTTCTCAGAAATAAATGCAGCATAGAGCCTGTTAGCTGACTAGCAAACCAGAGCAGTACTGAACTTCAGTGGAATGGAGCTTTAACAGCCCTTCTTCTGTCTACTACAAATACACACATACATGCGCAAAAAGATCCAGACTCAGTGTAAATATCAGTGAAGGCCGAGTGTGTGTGGAGCACAATTATAAACACATCACAAAACACACAGAAAGGTGAAGCAAAGACTGAATAACTAACTCTCTCTCTCTTTCTCTCTCTTTCTCTTTCATTTTCTGTCTGTCTCTCCACTATCTGTGCTTATCTGTTTAGGTTCAACAGATCGATCGAGTTGTGGAAGTGGTGGATGAAGCAGTCAAAGGTGAGTTGTAATGTGGTTGTGATCTCTCACTCACTTTCTCTCTCTCTTTCTGACACTCAAGCTCATCAAACTAATAAAATCATCTTAGACCTGTAGAATAACAAGTTAATTGATTTGCATAATTGCAAAGCATGGAATGTACATCAGTGTTTTATGCAGAGCTCCAGATGAGCGCAAACGTAGCTTAGCAATAAATTATTTGAAGAATGAAGAACAGAATATGCGGATTTCCTTTGTCTTTGTTTAGTATGCTTTTATTATAGCTTTTACTTCATTTCCTCCTTTTTAAACGATACTCCTGCTTTGCCTGTTTGGCCTCCAGGCATTTAAAATTCCCATGGTCAAAACTACTCTCAGCACCTTGAATCTTTTAGTTTTATTCTTTTCCACAGAAGTTATGCTTTCAAAGCTGGCAGCTTTTCTCCCTGCAGTGGGAGTGATTGAGTGGGCTCTTGTTTGACCTTCATCCAGAAACTTCCCCTGAATATGTATATATGATTTACAAAATTGATTTCAGTAGGTCAAACTGTACTTAAGGAATGCTAGGTGAAGGCCCTTGCCCTCCCTGAATTAAAGCCTCTAAAGCAATGAGAAATAAGAGGGCATGTAAGAGCAGGGAATGCAAGCCTAACTGTATAAAACATTATTTGGAGCTTCACTAAGTGCGCAGGAGTCAGAAGATAGGTTCACACTAGTCACATTTCACATTGTCCAGTGTTATCCTAGCCTGTTACAGCCTGCAGCCCAGCAAACAAATTGATAATAGCATGGCAGCTGAAAGGCAGACGCAGTGTCTGGCCCCTTGCAGAAGAGCATGAATGGTCTTATTTGATTGTGTCTTGTTCCTGTAGTTTCTATTGAAAATGTTTGGTCCAACTGACAGACCTCCATCATGACAAAATGCTATGGATGGACGTTTTCCTGTTCTGCCTTCATGCCTATAACACTGTGTGGCTTGATGGTCTCCAGAAATTGGCTGAAAAATCAGAACTACCTGGTTTTGCTGTTCTCTGACGTTTCTTCCCCCTTACTGATGTGTGAATTACTCGTCTCACAGTATTTTTAACAAAAAAAATCCTTAGAAGTTACTTAGTAATTTATTTATAATGTACATGATAAAGATATTATAATTATGATAATAAATATAGTAACAATTACATTGTATGTCAAATATACATAAGTACATAATAGAGATGAAATGATATTAAAATTTCATATCACGATTATCATGACCAAAATTATCACGATTATCAGTATTATCGCGATATTGTTCAAATGTGTTGAAAAGCAAAATAAATAAATAAATAAATACTGATACACAAACTGAAACTCGTCTCACCAACTTTTATATTAACACAAATAGAATTGGCAGCAATATGCACTTTTTGTTTGCATAAACATTAAAAATTATAGTCAATACATTTGTAGTATTACTTTTGTATTACTTACAATATTTGTAATACTCTGTAAACAAAAGAATAGCAAATGTATTATTATTACTATTATTATTATTATTATTATTATTATAAAGTACAATAACTAGGAATTTCCCTGCATAGAAAATTAAATTTGGAGCAACTCTGAAGTGGGTCTTAATGGAAAATTACTACTTCTAAGAAGTGCTGCACTCGGGGGATTTCTGTCCGAACTGAAATTGCAGCATTATTGTGCCGTAGTGGCGCTGAACCCCCCTAATCAATACAGTGCACCAGAAAAAACAGCCAAAATCGCAGAGGAATTGCGTGACCGTGCTGCGAGCTGCAGACAGTGTAGAACTCACACAGCGTGTCTTCACCTGTGGAGCTGCTTCTCTAAAAGCATTTTAAAACTAAAACATAACTTAAAATTAACATGCATCTGAGCTGCGGCAGAAACACTCCTAAAGTTTAATCTCTGAAACTCTGCTTTTCCCAAAAGCAGCGCACAGCGTTTACTTACGCGAGGTCCCGTCTCAAAGCACACTATCTTCCCTACGTAGTGCACTTCGTGGATCATGAAATAGCAAATCCTTCACCCAAAGAGTGCGTGAAATGTTCACAATAACAATATATTAACAACAGGTTACAAATTCCCTATTTAAAACTCAACTGCTTGTTAATGATGATCGTGTTTGTTTGAACAGTAGCGCACTACGTAGGGGACACTGAGTGATTTGAGACGGTGTTATTCTCCTCTCAGACAGTAAACACTGCAAGCTAGACGAGAAAGGGGAGCTGTGCAGATTGAACTTCTGCAGCGTCTCGTTCCAGAGCTTGTGTGACTGTTAACTCAGAGCTAATTTTGGAGACTCTGCTCCACAGAAATGTGTCAAAAGCTTTAGTTTCGATTCACAGTTGATTCACCGATTGTTTTTTTTTTTTTGACGCTAAAAGCATCATTTTATATTATTAACGAACCATAAGCACAAGTTAAACCACACAAACTGTGACATTTCTTCTATTTCGAAGTCCCCACAGACTTCTCCGTTAAAGTTAACCTTGCATTCTCTAAAAAGTAGCGGGTGGTGGTCGCGAAGATGACTCGTAAGGTTTGATGTGTTGCCCCCTTTCGCCGCTATTTTCTTTAGGCCTGTTCTGCAGACAGCGTGGTCATCTTCACCTTCCTTCTGCATTCTTATAAAACCCAAAACATGACCAAACGTCAGACTTGGTCTTCTTAGAAGGCTGAAATATCTCCGAATCTCACTTCATTCCGCCATATTCTACCTTCTCTCCCCCCCCTCCCGTCTACACACACACACAGAGCTGCGTCTGAGAGAATGATTCTGCCTTTGTTTGACTCTGTACAGTGAGTTTTTCACACCACGGTAATCGACCGCGGTTTTAACGATACTTTAAAGTTCAAACGGTACTACTAACCGTCATTAATTTTACCGCGGATTACCGTGAAACCGGTAACCGTTTCATCTCTAGTACACAATAGATTTAAGATTTGTCCGTTTTCCCACAGCTTTGAAAGGCAGGTAGAGCTCTTATAAGTTGGTATTAATTCTAGAGAGATCCTCTGTCTTTGGTAACACTTGCATCTGAAAGTAAATTTATTGAATCCTCTACTCTTTCAGGATAACATAGTCACCAAGCACAGTTGCAAATTACAATATTATAATAACTGCACCAGAGTGGGACCTAGAATGGCATGCTAATGTGTTGATTGCTATTTTTAGAATTATTACTTCGTGAAAAGGACACTATTTAGGAAGCAAACACTACTAGCATTGTGCTAGGCTCCACAGAACGAGAGTTTTTGCTCATATGTTTGCTCTTATTTTAATATATTCATATATATAAATGTTATGTATTACATTTTAATATTTCTTCACAAGATGATCGTAAGCTTTCTATTTTTCCAGTCTTAGTTAAATATTTCTCAGGAGTAGTACAAAATAGATTTGTACTAGTGCAGTGCTACTGACATTATCCACCCTGAAGTCCTTCATTTTTGTGACCCACTGCTCTTTTGTCAGTAAGTTTTCATCAGATTCAAGAATAAAATAATAAAAAATAATAAAGCATCTTTTCTATACAAGGACAAACATGGTATTGTTTGAAAATATAGAATTTGCAATTTTGAATAAGTGAATTAGCCACATATAAACACTCACAGGAATTGAAATTTGATATTTTGTTTGTTTAATTAAGTAAGGCTTTGGAGAGAGATTTCTCAGCTTTCCTCAGGTTGATGCCTTTAGCTCTTTGAGTAGTTTAGTTGTTATTGTAAAGCTGTGGAGGAGATTTCAGCATTCCACACTCCATCAAGAGAGATCACCACTGAGTCTGTCGGGTAAATGCCCTGCTGTGTGTGTGTGTGTGTGTGTGTGTGTGTGTGTGTGTGTGTGTGTGTGTCTGTCTCTCTCTCTCTCTCTCTCTCTCTCACTCACTGTCTCTCTCACTCTCTCTCTCACACTCTCTCTCTTGTTTTGGGCTTTCCTGAAACTCTGTGTTCAGACATGACTGGGACTGAGGCCACCCTCGTTTGTCTGATTGCTGGATGCCCACCCAAGGCCTTCCCCCCTCTCTCTTGCACTCTTGCGCTCTCTCTCTCTCTTGCTCACGCTCTTTCTGTACATATGGAGATATATATGGACTTGAGAGCCTGAACCCCCCACAGGCCTTTCAGTGGGCCTGTCACTTGCAAATCAGAAACACACAAACACATGCTCCCATATGCATGTCTCTCCCTCCTCTGATCTCTTTCTCCTGCTTTTTCTTTCTCTTTCTGTCTTTTTCCTAATGGTCTATTCTCTTGAGCTGTCTACTTTCATTGAACCTGTGCCCACTGTAGCCCTGGAGTGGTCCTAGTTAGTGTGATACAAGAGTTACAGGAAAAATATTTTACTCCATTATATAAATGAAAAATATCAGAGTTCTGATGTGGTCTGCTGTTGTAGCCCATCCACCCATCCAAGTTTCGATGTGCTGTGCTTTCACATTTTTTTGTTTTTCTTTTCACTGCTGTTGTAATGAGTAGTCATTCAAAGTAGTCTAGCCTTTATGTCAGCATGAGCAAGTCTTGCCAATCTCTTTTGACCTCTAACATTTATTCAGCCTTTCAGCCCACTGGATATTTTTTGCCTTTTGCATCATTCTGTCTTCCTGTTGTGCATGAAAATCCCAGGAGATCGACAGTTTCTGAAATGCTTAAACCTTCTCATCTGGCACGTGTGAAACAGCAGCAATGCGTGTGATGTCACTGTTTTCAAAAACATGTGTCCACATGAAATCATTTTAAAAGATCTCCACTCTGGAGAGCATTTTCTAAATCTTACATTTTCAGTTACCTAAAACAAGATTATTGTCTGGGCAATGCATCTGTGTTCACAAGCACGTAAGAAATCAATTACAAATGAGTGTAATTTAGTCATACAGTTCAGATGAAAACTCACCTCGTCCCAGACAGTGTTTTTTTTTTTTTGATAAACATAAGCAGAACTAGCAGAAAAGCAAACAAGGACTTGCTGTTTTTATCTATTGACTACAGCTTCACTATAGTTTCAGCAGCTT